CTTTTATACCTCATCCAAATTACCCAGCCAAAAAACACACAAAGCAAAACTGTGCGTTTAACAAAACTGAAAATAATGACTGTCACCACGGCAAAGAAGAATTCTTCGCCGCGGCGAAGAGTGAAGCAGACACGCTCGTCCCTGGCTTACTTCGCTGCGGCGAAGACAATTCCTTCGCCGGGGCGAAGCTTCTTGAAAAGTTCTGAAATTACAGAACTGCCACTCTGCTTGCTTATTTGTTTGATTCTTCGATTCTCGGTGCTCTCCCTTGGGAACAAGCTTCATCATGCTTTATCCTGCTTCGGAACTCTCCTATCTTCTGAGATCCGCTAATTTGTGAGTAAAAAATATCCAATTTTGTCCTTATTTGCTCAAAATGTCCATTTTAACCTGAGACACGAAAAGTAAAGAATTAAGCAACAATTCAGGTCAAAATGCACTAGAAAGTACCTGAAATCCGACAAAAAGGTCTAATGAAAAGTGTATAATCCACAGATTATCAAATATCATGAATCAAATTAAGCTTGATGGGCAAGACAGCAAAGAGAAAATGCCACTTGGCAAAATGTGTAAGACAACAGATGCTTGCATAGAAGAGCGATGTATGCACATATTTGCTCAACAATTCATTGTCTGCCATAACATAAGTTTGACAAAAATATCAACGCAATGCAACAAAATCTATGACCCCAACAAGAAAGAAGAATGGTAGTTGTCTGTTGTATGTGAATGCACCACAACTTCAGCGAGCTAACCCCAAGAAAATTCAGATCTGCATAATCACCAAATGAACCACTAAAATCCATAAGAAAAAAATATCTAGCGGAACACTACACTACCCTTTATATATATACATTATAACTGCTATTGCATCAACTAACACAATATTTGGCCTCTCCCAGTAGCTTTTAACTATCCCAAAAAATTTCCCCAAAAGTAATCAACCCCACCAAACCTTATATTATAGCTATAAACAGGCAAATGGTCATAATTCCGCTGCACCTCCAGCCCATACATCTCTTGCCTACGAGAATCACCCTTGGCCCCAATGGTTCCCTTATCATAAAGGGTCTTCTCCTTATATCCACAAAGCAAGTACCTGTAGGGAGGACATAACAAACACAAAGCAAAAGAAATCCATTCAATCCACCATCTCATCCAACACCCCCAATCATAGTCAACCGGCATTCCAATAGTCCCCTGATCAACCCTCTTGGCAACCATTTGAACCTGCTAGTAAAGGATTAGCAAAAAACTCTTATTCCCACTAGGGGAAGGAACAATCCACCCTTGATTTTTTCTAACCATCATCATAAGATCAAGTATTAGTAGGAATCCTACTAATAATACAATCTTTTGGAAGACTCCATTCCACAACCACTCTACCTGTTCCGGCTGTATCCTTTAGTTTTAAGCTACTTAACCTAAGTCTTACAACCTTAACTTGATTTTTCATGCAGTTAATGCTCCAAATTTTCCATTAAAAGGCGCATAGTCCTCTCCTACCAACCAAGATACATAACCACCCCAGGTAAAATTCGTCCTATCACAACTCTAATGTTCTTCCTTCTTAGATTGTTAGTAGCCCAAATACAATATTATCCCATCCATTGACATTAGTGTAGAAATGACCCTTTATCTGAACAGTTCTCCAAATGGGCTACAAGAAAAGGCATAGAAAAAGAGATGCTCATGAGTGTCCATAACGTTACCGCATAGGACACAATCTAGGTCCTTCAATCCTCTCCAAGCTCGCATCCTATCCTGAGTCAATAGTTTCTTCTTGATAGCAAGCCATAGAATGAAAGAATGCCTGGGGATACAAGTATTATTCCGTATGATAGTGCTCTAGCTCACTGGCATATTTGCATTAGCCAAATTCCACCAAGTCTGCTTCGATGAAAATCTAGTTGGCCTACCTTATACGTTTCTCCAATAAGTGACATCCACCGATAAGTCCAAAGATATAGATGGGGATTGATTAGCAATATGGGGAAATCCGTCCTTAAATATTTCTGGCCATCTCCACTGGCCATTAATCAACACCTCACTAACTTTGGTGTTATACCTCGAGCCCGTACTCAAGAATAGTCTCTGAGGAACAATGATATCAAGTAGGCCTAGAGGGTGCCAGGAGTCATACCATAGTGAAGTGTTATGTCCATTAGCCAGGTTGACTCCCACATGAGCCCGTAACATATCTCTCATCGAAAGGATTTTATGCCAACTATAAGGTAAGTATATTTTTTTAGTTTATTGCCATTTTATTCCTTCAAGAACTTGTAAATCTTTTATGACACATGAATTAAGTTTTAACAAAACATAAATTTGCCTTTCATACACAAAAATGTATCTTTCTCTATTATAGTCTCTCTGTTAGAAGATTGAGGTTGTTTGTATCTCTTATTGTTTTTCAAGTCAATAGAGTAGTTGTTTTAGTTGAAGTTTTGGTTAAAATGTGTGGTGACCCTTAATTCAAGGAACTTTTGCTTTTTTATGTATGGTGTGCTTTAACTAAAGAATGGTTGTGTCAGGTTTTTTGTATATTATAAATCATGTACATTGTATGAAAATTAAGATAATGAAAAAATATTTTTGTCTTCAGCTCTCTTATCTATTTTTCTCTCTTTTTTTTCTTCCTCTGAGCCTCCCGATTTGCTTCCTTATTGCATAATTTTGTCTTGCTTCATCAGTCTAATTTATTCTCAGCTTGGACAGCATGGTATCATAGCTTTTCTAATCTTAAGGGGTGTGTTCATTCTAAAGTTATCATAGTTTTAAAATTTTGTTTTGATCACTAGTTCACCATGGCTTCTTCATCTTCATCCATGTCACCACTAGTTTATAATGGTGAACTCTATCATATATGGGCTGTCAAAATGAAAGCCTATATGAGAGGTTTAGTCCTATGGCAATATGTTGAGGAGGAGAAACAACCTCCTCCTTTGGGGCCAAATCCAACATTGAATCAGTTAAGATTGCATGCAGAAGAAGTTGCTAAAACACCTAGAGCTTTATCAATCATTCATCAAGGTGTAACTGATGATTCACTAAGATTGTTGTGTGTGAGACTGCTAAGGAAGCATGGGAAAGATTGAAAGAAGACTCCTTAGGCAATGAAAGATCAAGGCAGATGAATGTGCTTAATCTAAGAGAGAGTTTGAAGTTCTTAAAATGAAGAAGGCTAAAGCTATTAAGGAATATGTTGATAGAATTATGAAGGTTGTAAATCAAATAAGGTTAATGGGTGAAACTCTTCCTTATTAGAGGATTATGGAGAAAATTTTGGTGTGCATTCCCGAGAGGTGTATGAGGCTAAAGTCTCCTCTCTTGAAGACTCTGAAAGTTTCTCTGATCTTACCTTGTCTAGAGTGATAAATACCCGGAAAGCTCAAGACCAAAGGAGAGCTCTAAGGCATGAAGAGTCTGTAAAAAGTGCTCTTAATGCTAAGCTATAGGAGAAAAATTATATCAGTGACTCAATAAAGAAGCATACTATTGATAGAAAGGAGAAGAGAAAAGTAAAATGCAAGCTACAAGGTGAAAAGAAAGGAAAATATGCTCCTTGTCCTCATTGTAAAAAGAAGGGGCATTCTCCAAATTATTGCCGATACAGACCTAATGTCAAATGTAGGTCATGTAACCAGCTTGGAAACATTGATAAAGTGTGCAAAAATGTAAGTGGAATCCAAGCTCAATAAACTCAGCAAATTCATTCAACTAAGAAACAAGAAGATGCTGAAGAAAATCTTTTTGTTTCAACTTGTTATGCAACTCATAATAATCAAACCTCTTGGTTAATAGATAGTAGTTGTTCAAACCATATGACCTTTGATGCTAACATTCTTAAAGACTTGGATGAATCTTATTTGTCCAAAGTGAAAATTAGAAATGGTGAAATGCTAGATGTCAAGGAAGAGAAACGGTTGTAATTGATACTCCAACAGTACCAACTATATTCAAGATGTTCTTTATGTACCTAAAATTAATCATAACTTGCGAAGTGTAGGACAGATGCTGGGAAAAGGTTATTCTCTGCATTTTCAAAACAAATCATGCACCATTATTGATCCTTGTGGTAGTTAACTTACGACTGTTGATGTGATAGACAAGACTTTTGCTATAGACTGGAATTTAGCTAGCACTGAGGCTTATCAACATATTAAAATTGATTCAAATTTATGGCATAGAAGGCTTGGACACTTCAACTATGTAACTTTAAAAGATATGCATGATAAGAAGCTAGTGCTAAATTTACCAACTGTTAATGATCATCATTGAGTCTGTGAAGTATGTCAATTTGCCAAACAATCCAAGTTACCTTTTCAAATAGCAAATGGAAAGCCACAGAGAAACTGCAACTTGTTCACTCAGATTTATGTGGACCAATGAGTGTTGCTTCTCCAAATGGGAGCAAATACTTTTGAATCTTTATTGATGACTTCTCAAGACTTTGCTAGATTTATTTCTTGAAGCAAAAGTCAAAAGTTTTTTATGTCTTTAAGAGATTTAAGGCAGAAGTGAAAAAGCAGTCAAGGTGTAAGCTGAAGTTGTTCAGATCAAATAATGGCTTAAAATATACTTCAAATGCATTCTCCTCTTTTTGCAAAACAAAAGGTATAATGCATCAACTAACCACTCCTTACACTCCACAGCAAAATGGAGTGAGTGAAAGGAAAAATAGGTCAATGATGGAAATTTCTAGGTGTTTGATGTTTGAAAAAAAAAAAAAAACTACCAAAACATTTTTGGGCTAAGGCAGCAAATACTTCAGTGTATTTGTTAAATTTGTTGCCCACTGAAGCTTTGAATAATGCCACTCCTTATGAAATTTAGCATGGATGTAAACCTTCAATTGATCATCTAAGATTATTGGATGTTTGTTATGTTCTTGTTCCAAGTGAAAGAAAAAGCAAGTTAGAATTAGAGAAAGGGTGTTTGTTGGTTACAACCAAGCATCTAAGGGCTACAGAGTGTACAATCCCTCAACTAATAAAATTATGGTTAGTAGGAATTTCATATTTGATGAACAAGCAATTTGGAGCTGGGCTAATGATAATGAAGTGAAAGCAGAATCAAGTTCAAATCCTGGAACTAATGTCTTGTCAGAAAATGATTCATATTCCAATGATGAAGAAATTACTCTTGCAACAACAATAAGATCTCTTGAAGATATTTATAGTAGGTGTAATATGGCCTCTTTAGAGCCAACTTCATTTGATGAAGTTGTGTCCAATGAAGAGTCGAACACAACAATGAAGAATGAGATGGAAATGATTAATAAGAACTCTACATGGAGCCTATTTGAAAAACTTGAAAATCACAAGGTGATTAGTGTCAAGTGGATCTATAGAACAAAATTCAATCCTGGCGGCAATATAAACAAGCTCAAAGCTAGATTAGTTGTCAAAGGATATCTACAACAATATCACATTGATTTCACTAACACTTTTGCTCCAATAACAAGGTATGATACTATTAGATTGCTTGTGACTCTATCTGCTAAACTTGGCTAGAAAATATACCATCTTGATGTTAAATTTGCTTTTTCGAATGGTATACTTGATGAAGATATATGTAGAGCAACCTGAAGGTTTCAAAGTGCCTAGGAAAGAAAAGTATGTTTATAAGCTACATAAGGCTCTTTATGGCCTGAAATAGGCACTAAAAACTTGGTATAGCAGGATACATAATTACTTGCTGGACCAAGATTTATGTTAAGAAGGTAAATGGTGATACATCTCTTATTGTCTCCTTGTATGTTGATGACACATCTTTGTGATAGGTGGAGATATGAAATTAATAGCTGATTTCAAGAAGAATATGGAAAAAGAATTTGAGATGTTAGACTTGGGTGAAATGAATTACTTTCTCGGTATGGAAATAAATCAAGATCACTTAGGCATATTCATCTCTCAGAAAAAACATGCTCAAGATCTGTTGAAAAGATTTCAAACGGAAGGTTGCAAGGATGTTGCAACACCTTTATTATTGAATGAAAAACTAAAGAAGATTGATGACTCAAAAGAGAAAGCAAATGTTACATTATACAGAAGTCTCATTGACAACCTATTTTATTTATCCTCTACCAGGCCAAATATAATGTTTGTTGCATCTCTATTGTCCAGGCTTATGCATTCACCAAGAAAATCCCACTAGTGTGCAACCAAAAGGGTGTTAAGGTACATAAGGGGAACTATTAAATTTGGTTTGTGGTTCTCTAAAAAGGGTAGCAATCAACTTATAGGTTACTTGGATAGTGACCGGGCAGGGAGCTTGGATGACTTTAAAAGCATTTCGGTTTACTGTTTTTCAATTGGAAGTTTTATGTTCTATTGGAGCTCAAAAAAACGAGCAATAATAGCTCAATCATCAGTAGAAGCTGGGTATGTAGCTGCTACAAGTGTTGCTAATTAGGCCGTTTGGCTGCGAAAAATTCTTTTAGATTTGGGACAATATTAACAAAGAAGTGTTACACTCTTTGTGGATAACAAGGCAGCCATAGCAATCAACCAAAATATAGTTCATTATGGTAGGACTAAGCACATTAGTGTTAAGTTTCATACTATGCATGAGGCTAAAAACATAGGTGAAATCAACCTGAAGTTTTGTAGTTCAGAAGATTAGGTAGCAGACATTTTGTCCAAAGCTCTTCCTAGGCATAAGTTTGAAAATCTGAGAATGAAACATGGGGTATTAAATAACAAACACCTCAAGGAAAAGTACTAGAAGATTGTGGCTATTTGTATCTCTTACTGTCTTTCAAGTCGATAGAGTAGTTGTGTTAGTTGAAATTTTGGTTAAAATGTATGGTTGATCCTTAATTCAAGGAACTTTTGCTTTTTTATGTATGGTGTGCTTTAATTAAGGAATGGCTATGTCAAGTTTTTTTGTATAATTATAAATCATGTACATTGTATGAAAATTAAGATAATGAAAAAAGATTCTTATTTCAGCTCTCTTATCTATTTTTCTCTCTGTTTTTCTTCCTCTGAGCCTCCCAGATTGCTTCCTTATTGCATAATTTAGTCTTGTTTCATCAGTTTAATTTATTCTCAGCCTTGACAACACTCTCACATAAAGGCTATTTATGTTGCTCTAGTTCTAGTTGCATTTATGTATCTAAGAGTGTTAATTTTAATGAGAAAGAGTTTTCTTATTGAAAGTTTTAAATTTACCAAGTGATTTAAAACTTAAGCAGAAATGGTTGCTATGTTGATTTTAAGAGTCCATTAAACATAAACATAAAGCAACAAATATAACTCAAAGTAAAGCACACATGATTTTTACATGGTTCGGCAAAATACCTACATCCATGGGACCAAGTCCAGAATAAAGCTAATCCACTAGGTTTACTTTAAAGTTTAATTACAAAGTTAAAGATTAAGCCTCAGTTGCCAAAACACCCCTATTTTGCAACACATCAATCTCTACCCTTTGGTTAAACAATTTACAACCATAGCTGATGCGTGTTTACTACAACATGCAAAACTAGCAAGTGCACTAGTCGCTCAAGTAATAGAGTGATGGGTAGGATATCGTTCCCACGAGGACTGGTAGCGAAGCACTAAGTTTCCTAACGTTAACAAGTTGAAGCAACCGAAAATCTTGGATTTGTGGGAGCAAATTGTAATTGAAAGAAAACTAAAATAAAATTTAACAAAGAATTAATTCTTAAAAAGGAAAGCAAATGAANGAGGCACAGTCACAACAATGCATTTTAGACAAGGGAAACAAAAACAGTATCTATAACCATAAAGATTGGATCAAGTCATAGCTTCCAGAGGCATCATTTGCTATTATAAGTTGAGAATATAAACCTCTAAAATTTGTAAATTGTTGTCATGACAAATTGAAGCCATTACAACTTATATCCAGTCCGTAAAAACTGGATAAACTCAAAATGCTTACCTCCACTCCCATCAATCGGCCTAACACTTGGTGATGCAGAAGCAAATAAGAAAAAGATAAATATAATAAAAATGTTAGGTTGACTTTTGTCTTTGTCCAACAGGAGAGAAATAAGCCTTAGCTTTTCACTTGGAGGACTATAAATAAAGCATTTCTTTGTCCTTTGTAAACCATCCCTGAATATTATAAAATATATCTTGACTTAAACATTTGCTTTCTTTTCCTCTTTAAGGTTGTAGTTATCCTTGGCTTAGCCAAATAAGGTGGCATTTTGGCTATTTTCGTCATAGTGGAGTTTATTCTAACCTCACCACGATTGACATCCATAGTGGGGTTTCCAACCTCGCTAAGATTGGAGTTCTTGCGACATCTCGGCGTCAGCTGTAATAGTCACTCCCTACTCATGTACTCATAAAAGATACATAATGAAAACATATGGAAAATAACATAAATAGTTGGGCCCAAAATTTTCTTTAATTAAACATATATATGTATGTAGATATTCTTTACACAAAAATTGTATCACGTACAAAAGTGCTCAAAAACATAGTGGACAGTGTAGCCATTTCCCTTCGCTTGCCGACGCTCATCCGACCGTGTCCTCACCTAGATCCTGCAAAACATAGGAAACAACAGGGTGAGCACTAAAATAATGCTCAGTAAATAAATCCTCTACTCATCTAACCCCGTAACTCTCTCTAATTCTTTCCTTACAATTCTCATTTACTCTTTCTCTTATACTTTTCTCTGTTTTCTCTTTCTCATAACTCTTTTCTACTAACTCTCTTTAGTAAGTCACAGCCTCATCTTACCGGAGGCACGGCAGGGACTCGCTCCCGCTCTACGTGACTTCTACTCGTTCTTAGATGATCGGACTAAGTTATGCATGGATTCGGAATCCTTGGCCATGTAAGTATATAATCTCTCTCTCGGGTACTCTCGGGTACTCTCGGGTATAGCCCTCATCCGCATGCACTCTCACGGGCTACACCACTTCTCTCTCTCATACTCATGCCGCTTTCTCAATGCGACGTACATGCGGGAATACTCTACCCATTACTCACGGGTTCCCCATCGCACAACCTACTCTATGCTCTTTTCTCTCTTTTATTCTCTAGTGCTCAATCTCTCTTTCTCTTTACTAAAGCTCATACTCAAAGTTCTCTACTCTTTTTCTACTCTTTCTCTATTGCATAATTAATACATATGGATGACTCATGCTCATTAATGTACTAATGAAATGCAATTATGCCATGTAGTAATAATTAAGGCTTTCTACTCTTACTCATGCTTCTCTTGAGCATTTCATCATACAACTCATGTGCATATAAAACTCTATGTTAACAATAACTATTCTCTTCTCTTGAACCTTCCCAATATGGGAGAAAACTCTCTCATAAATTCTAATTTTCTGTCAATGAAACAATCACTTCTATAGGGTTTACTCAAACTCCCTTTAACTTCAATCAAACTCAACTCAACACTTCTCATATTCCAATACATTCAGTACTCATTAATAACTATAATCTCATCACATCTCATCTCAATTTCTCAATGAACATAAGATATACACATACATACATAAATCTCTACTCAAAAGAGTTCTTAACTCTCCACTTGGGTTGGATTTACTTACCTTGTGAAAAAGTGACTTCTCTAGTACTTTTCCTTTCCCTTGTTGTCTTGTCTTCTCTCTACAACAACTCAAAACAACAACAAGAACCATAACAACCATATAAGACTTCGATACAACTATAAGCAAACTCACGTCTGAAGCAAGAATCATTACCTTAGGATGCTTTAGATTCAAACTCTACTAAAATTACCCCAAAAACTCCCAAAAACTCCTTAGAAATCTTGGAAAATTGAAAGGAAACTTGAGAGAATTTAGAGAATGGTTATGGCAGTGGAAATGAATGAAATGGAGGGTTTATTTCACTTAACCCTTTTTAGCTCATAAGATAACCATCACTTCCCAACTTTGCCCTTGCTCTTCCTTGAAAATTTCATCTATATCTTTTGATTCATTTCACTTACACCCTCACACTAACCTATTCTTCATGAAATTTCCTTACATTTTACTCCCCACTTTTCCTGCTAATTAGGGGTAGAATGGTCATTGTACCCCAAAGGAAAAATTCTCTAGAAACTCAATACACTTTTTCTCAAGCCCTTCGCCGCGACAAAGAATCTTTCTTCACCCCGGTGAAAAATTACAGAACCTACACCGTAGGTTGCAGGGCTTCATCGCCGCGGCGAAGCTTCTTCTTCGCCCCGGCGAAGTCTGTAACACAAAAACTTCACCAAGTTTTACAAATTTCAGGGCAACCACTTAACCAAGGCCAACTAAATATTATTAACAATAACCAGACTCAATTAAAGTTGAATCAATAAACACTTAAGCAATGTAGCAAATCTTGAGTACGTACCTCAAGTGAGGCGTTACATCAGCTTAGTATCAAAGCTTCGGTTTCTTCTTCAGGTATTTTTCCTCCTTCTCACTTTTACTTTAAGTAACCATTATTTTAGTTTTTTTTTTTCCTTGCCTAGTCATTAGTGTAAGTTATTTGTCAACTTATGAACCTAGAGTAGTAAATTTCAATCC